GAAAGTTAATCGATTNNNNTTTTATTCTTTTTTTTTTTTTTCTTTTTTTTTTTAAAATTCCACAAAACTCCCCCCCCCCCCCCACCTTTTTCTTAAACTGAAAATGCTGGTTTCGTTAAGTGTTTATTCGGCTTAATATTCTTTTCTGGTTAATAAATGTAATTTCCATAAAAACAGTTAAATATTTAAAGTTTAACAACTATTATCTCCTCTGCCTCTGTAATTAACCTGTGCCCGCGCATGCGCGACGCACGACACCGGCGGAAAGTTTAAATAAATGTGTTTGTTGTCGCTTGTTTTATCATAGGTTTGTAATATTTACATTATTCAAACTGCAGTATTTATTAAGTATGCTACTGTTACTGAAAGATAGCTATATAGTAACGACATATATTATCTTTTACTCAGAGTGCATAAAACAAGACTAGAGACTTTTCAAATTTAGTATACTTACTACACTACTGTAATAAGTAGGCGGTATACTCCAGCCAGCAGTCAGCGAGGCTGAGACGCCTCCACTTTAAAAAAAATTAATATGATTTTTAAATAGGCATTAAAGTTTAGTCTGAAGTTCGCGATTTAATAATTCAGTGCAAATTGGACGGGAATTAAGTTTATGTAATAATTTTGTTAGCCTTGGGATTTTAGTGGTTATTAGTGCTAAGTCTGACCCAGAATTGATGACCCATCATAATGATGGTATTGAATTGACAATTGATATTATAAATTCACTATATTTTTAAAAAAAAATGTAAGTGCATTTCAACTGAAGGGATAGGCCTAACTCAGACTAACTGAACTTTTTATTAGTAGGCCCATTAATTATTATAATTAAAAATTGTTCATTCATCATATATATGATACAATGTTTTGTGGTCATAATTATGACTGAGACTGGTTTCAATTTCATGATTATAATTAGGCTATGTCTTATGACCAATGCAGATTCATTGACGAGGCGTTGATGTCAAGTCAGTATGAGTATGAGTAGGTCTATTGTAACATGGTATAAAACAAAACCTCAAGTCATAATATGAGTCATATACTTATTTTAAAAAAACAACATCATAAGAGTAATAAGTTTAAATAAGATAAGCCAGAAAGTCATCATTTTAAATAATAACTTTTACTTTTCTTTTAGGTTAATAAGTTTTCTTGCCTGAGCCTTGTTGAAATATATTAAATGTGTAAAAAATGATATGCCTTGTTGATATTGAAAGATTAGCAAAGAGTCTTATACTTATACTAAGAAGAATTTCCACTCCATTTGCCTCATTAAATATAAATTACATATTAATAATTAATAAACAATTAGGCTCCTATTGCTATGCTGCCTATAGTTATAGTCTTTAGAACTGATACCTTCCTATACAAAAAAGGGCCTGAATGTTCTTGTATAAAAATTGAAATATGCTTTAATTTTCAATTTGTCTACAGTAGTGACAATGAAAAAACTATAGAATAGGATTAGGATATTATTATATAAAATAGCACCCATTAACTCAGTCTGTCACAATTAATTTTTTTTCAAGGACTTAATCTGAAATTAACACTATTTATTAGTCACAACAATTAACCATGGCGTTTTTTTTCCACTGTCATCTGACTATAGATCAGTAGCAGATGAAAGCTGAAAGTCACAATCTTCAATGTAAGTTACCATTCATTATAATAATGTCACCTTAAGCTTCACAGTTATGTAGCAGAAGTTTAAGCTGGCTAGTAATTTTAACTTTTGTTCATGTTTAAGTTTAATTTGTAATTAAAATCAATAAGTGTCTATAAGTATTCATTTGAGATGACAGATGTGAGATGGTTGACTAAGCAAGTAATTTTAGTCTGTGCCTGTGAATTTTCAAAAAAATTCCATCAATCATAAGTTCTTGAAATATTAAGCTAAGATTATCTATTTTATTAAATATAAATTATAGCAATGACCATTTTAAGATGCTTCTCCTTATTTCTGACTTACAGGGCTGAAAGCAGAAGAAGGTCCTCGGTAAGGTTTTCTAAGTATATATAAATATATATTTATTAAATATACTATGAATTGAAAAAAAATAATTTACCGTTACTAAAACTTGAGCTGAGGGGTGATTAATTATTATTGACCTTAATACTTAAGCAAATAAATAATCAAAGTGAACAGCACTTAATATTAAATCCTTTACATTAACTTTGCTTTTGTTCATGTGTTATGGACAAAATCTTTGGATGGCTACCTGACCCTATTCTAGTCATCCTATTGACTGAAACTTGGCACATAGACTCGTTGCCGATGACAACACATACCAAATTTTCAGCCCCACTTCCTAACCCCCAAAAAATAAGTTTTTCCTTTTTTTTTAAAGGGGAAGATGAATGAAATAGGATTTGTTCAATGGGTTATAAGGGGAGAGCCTGCAATCAGGATAGCAAAATAGGAAATTAGGAAAATAAAGTAAGGTTAAACCTGAAAAAAGGAACGCAACAAATAACGAACGTGTCCGCAGGAAGCCTTCGTCAGCGAAAAAACAACAGAAAAAACAGAATAAAATTTTTCCAGAAGCTAACATATTTACATAACCGCTTCTTAATAAGTGATAAGTAATGTACAATTACTAGAATGCCAATAAAAATGCATAAAAAGTATTTATATAAAAATAATGGTTGCTGAATTTTTGTTTTGTTTTTACAATTCTTTTTCTTTAAACTATTTAATCAGATTCTCAAGAAACAGGACACATGCATTATTGAGGTAGTGTATAAATAGTATAATTCTTTTTATTTTATATTAAATTGTTTGAATATGTGTTGAATCGTAAGGGCTAAAATGCATTATAGAAATACATACTTTAATCTGAAATAATTTTTTTTAATGAATGTATCATTTTCCGAGTTCACAAACACATGATTTATTTTTTATTCTTAAAATTTTCAGAAAATAAGGGCCAAAGAGCAAAAAATTTTGTTATTCCAACTTAACTATTTGATATAATATAGTGGTATTGTTTAAACAAGGAGAATTTTTATGCAATCTTAAAACAATATTTAAAAGCTATGAAATTATATTTTAAAATATGAGATATATTATATATATATATCAATATTTAATTATTTTTTACTACATTTTCAAGTTTTGTGCATAACCACCTTTTAATATTTTAATGCTATTGCCAAGATCAGTACAGACTTTAAAAAGAAAATTTATTTTTTTTACTATGGGTCAATGCTAAAATAAATATGAATTTTTACAGGGCACTGATGGAAACACTAGAGTTGCCAGGACACCACGAAGAGTGAGTTTTGCCCAGACCCTCACACTCAGGTAAATTGTTGTTTCTTTTAATATATTCATTTGATCATTATTACAGTTGCTTGACTAGCTATTCCTTCTTTAAATCACATTAAACCTAAATTTCCTTTGTTGATATTCTGAGCAGAGCTTTAAATGTACCTGTTTCTTTTTTTTTTTTTTTTTTTTTTTTTTTATTTTTTTTTTTTTTTTTTTTTTTTTTTTTTTTTTTTTTTTTTTTTTGTTTTTTTTTTTTTATACCAGGGAATTTGAGTGCCATGAATATAATGGAAGCAACACAGATGAATCCTCTTCTAGAGAAGATGTGGTAGGTGAACCAAGAGTTAGTTAATATCCTTTCATAAGTGGCAATTTACATTTTCAATAGTGGCAAAGTGACTGCTGCTCATCAGTGCCTGATTTTTATTTAATGCATTTAATTAATGACAGTGCTAGGCTTTTCTTTAAATATCCACATAAAATCTGCAAGGTTTTTTAAGTTGAGTCCCCTGGGCAGCAATTTCCAACTCTTTATTTTTATGATTGCAAATACGTCTGATAGAATTAGGTTGTGTAATATCTGGATTTAAATATTTTTTTAAAATCTTAAATTAATTGTCGAGTTAAGCTGTTAATTATTTTAGAGTTGAACATTGAAGCCCACCTTTAACAGACTAAATAAGTTATTCTCTTCTTTGCAGAGTTCAGGGGAAGTTTTTCAGAGCTGTTCGGCTCCTACAACCCAACGAGGATTTGAGATTTCTCCAAATACAAGCCTGATGGAGTTCTTGGCCACCTCTCCAGAAAATCAACCAGGGATGATTGTGGAGGCTCATAAGCATGACAGGTGATTAAACTAACATGAAATTTTAGCTCTGTGTTTTTGGAATCGCCAGTAAATGTTAGTCTTTTTGAAATCTAATCAATCATTTCACTATTATCATTATTTGGCTTTTTGTTTTAAATGGTAAAAAAAATGAACCTTGTCAACTATATAAATTATCTCAGATTTTTAAAAATGAAAATTTGTAATTGTGACAACAAAAAAAGATACAATTTTACATCTAACGTCTTGTTGGGTTGTAATTTAAACTTTGAGTTACCCAAATGAATGTAACATAAACACTTGAAATTCATTTTAAACTTTATTTGACATAAGTAAAAGCTTTTTTCAACTCTTTTTTTTCCCCAGTGAAAGTATTGCTACTGACACAGCCATGGCAGCCTTCATAAATGAAAGCAGATTGAATCAAACTGTTTTGTTCAGTAACATGGATGACTCTGCCTGTGGCATGGACATCACAGCCAACATTTCCCAGCTTCCAGAAAGTTCATTTGCCGAGGTTGACGGCGTTTCAGCCTCACAAGTGGAAGGGAGGCAACAGAGCAAGCCGGGCTTCCATCGCCGACCCTCGTTTTCTAATGATTTCTGTGATGGGGTCTTCATCAAGCGTTATCCTAAGTTATTGGATGACCTGTTCAAGTTGGGGAAATCGAGCCAGGCCCCGTCGAACCAGGTGGCAGTAGTCAAAGAGAAGCCACCAGCTGGGATGAAACTTTACGATGACAGAGAAGACACTGAGGTGATTGGTGTCTTTTCAGAGGAAAGCAAGAGGAAAGCATTGAACGACATCACTAGGCATGGCATGCTGACGCCTATCGAGGAAATATCAGTCCTTTCAAGAAATGTTTCCCTGGCTGATCCAGACCTCGTGGCTGGCAACAAGTTTTATGGCAACCTTGTGCCAGCTCATTTGCACCAAGTTTACATGAAACTTGACAGGCTCAAAAATGAACTGGAAACTGAATGTCCCATCGACAAGGAAAATATTCCAGTGATTCCATTTCCTGGCCAGTCAATAATTTTTAAAGAGTCTGTGGTGGACACTTCAAGCTATTCTGGTGTGCGTTCAGGAGATCCTGCAAGGAAAGACATGGCAGAATTCAGTGAAGAAAAAAAACAAGCAGGATTTAAACTATTTCAAAATGAGAGCAAGATTAGAGAAAAACTTGGGTCTAATTCAGATATGGAACTTACCAGTTCTTGTACAAAGATTACTCTTATGGGACGTGGTCTGCCTCATCCTACATCAGGGGCTTTTTTGATGGAAAATGAGCCCAATGAAACTAGGGCGATAGAAAATTTAGAGGGGAAGACATTATACATGGAAGACGGGGGTGATATGGAACTCACCAGTATTTGTACCAGGACCATTCACCTAGAACCAGATCTCTCACCCCCAAAAGACCATTCAAAGAACACATGGCCTTTCAACCAGATCGGTAAAACCTCTATTGATAAAAAAGACCAGTCTGGGGGTCAAACAGTGTATATGGTAGATGGTGGCGACATGGAACTAACCAGTGTTTTTACAGAAACAATCCATATGGGACCCCATCTAAAATATGACCCTCAAAACAAAAACAACTCTGTAGGTTTACAGGAAAGAGAGAGGTTGAAAAATCAAACACTGTACATGGCAGATGGTGAAGACATGGAGTTTACCAATGTTTGTACAAAAACAATTCAAGTGGGACCCAATTTACCACTTCTTATAGACAATTCTTCAAGTCATAAAAGTCTAGCAACTGACCAATTTAAAGGTCAAACAGTGTATATGAAGGATGGTGAAGACATGGAGTTTACCAATGTTTGTACAAAAACGATTCACATAGGACACAATCTAATAGACCACACTCAAAGCAAAAATACATCCATAGTTTTACAGGAAAATAAGCTGACTGGTGAGAAAATGTTGAACAGTCAAACAGTGTATATGAAGGATGGTGAAGACATGGAGTTAACCAATGTTTGTACAAAAACGATTCACATGGGACACAATCTAATAGACCACACTCAAAGCAAAAATACATCCATAGCTTTACAGGAAAATAAGCTGACTAGTGAGAAAATGTTGAACAGTCAAACAGTGTATATGAAGGATGGTGAAGACATGGAGTTAACCAATGTTTGTACAAAAACGATTCACATGGGACACAATCTAATAGACCACACTCAAAGCAAAAATACATCCATAGCTTTACAGGAACATAAGCTGACTAGTGAGAAAATGTTGAACAGTCAAACAGTGTATATGAAGGATGGTGAGGACATGGAGTTAACCAATGTTTGTACAAAAACGATTCACATGGGGCACAATCTAATAGACCACTCTCAAAGCAAAAATACCTCAAAATGTTTACTGGAAAGAGAATTGACTGATGAGAAAATTTTGAAAGGTCAAACAGTGTACATGGGCGATGGTGAAGACATGGAATTCACCAGATTTTGTACAAAAACCATTCACATGGGATCCAATCTTCCCCCTTTAAATGACAATTCTTCAAGTTGTAAAAATATTGCACATGACAAGTTCGAAAGTCAAACAGTGTACCTGGGGAATGGCGAAGACATGGAAATCACCGGCATTTGTACAAAGACATTTCACGTAGGGCACAATCTACAACCCACTGCTCATAATGCAAGTATCTCAGGTGCTGTCCTTCAGGATATTAAGTCTACTGATAATTTAGTATCGAAGAAGGTTGAAGTCTTAGAAGGCACAAAATCAGCTTTAAAGGAACCACGGAAACATCAAGAACCAATCATGGTCTTTGATCACTTGCAACATTTAGCTGGCCCCCAGGTGACGCAGACCCGTAGCTGCAAAGCAGGCCAATGTATTAACAGCTCTCATGCTGGCAGTTTTGTTTCCAAATTGCAACTGACCAGTGAGCCAGCAGTAAGTCTGAAAAACTCAGTCACTGTTGATAACGACAGAGATGGAACAAAGACTTCAGGTAAAGTAGCAGAATACTCCTTTAAAAGAAGTTCCCAAGAGTCCCTGAGCGATGATCCTGCTTGTAAAAGACCAAAAAATGAGATTGAGGTTACACCAAGTGGTATAGCTGCCTTGGATAAAAGCTTAACATTTCCTAAACAAATGGGTTCAGTCCCAAGCGCTTATCAGAGTCGACCCTACAGTGAAGCTTCAGTATCTGTCCCCCCTGCAGACTGTGATCCCATGCCTAATCATGAGAAGTCACGGCCCACAGCCGAAGCGTGTCCTGAAAAGGATAGCTTGTCAACAGGGGTTGCCCAGGACCAACAAAAGACAACACTACGGCAAGATCTAACTAGATCTTTGTTGAAAGACTTGCAGTTCCCCTTGATGCTGACAAGGCCTTCAGCTTCCAGGTCGAGTGCTCCGTTTCAAAAACGTAGAAGCTGTAACTTTAATCTGTTGCTTCAGCCCAAAATCCCAAACCAACCTAGTTGTCCTGAGCGTCTCTATAGAACAGCTAACTCCAGTGGCTGTAATCCACAAGTAGAAAATGAGGCTATGCCTTTAGGAGGGGAGATATCTTCAGAAAACAACAACATGACACCTATGTTAAATATCACAGGCACATCTCGCAATAGCTTAATTTTTCCACCATATCCGATGAGCCGTTCCGTAAGCAGCTTAACTGGAAGCTCTACTGTTTCATTTAGTCAGCATGAGAGCCCGGATAAATGCTTGAAAAAATCTGGCTCCTCCGTATTGGCTCTGTCTCCTTTACCGGACATTTGGGATCCATTTGAAGTTGAGGACAATGGCCAGTTGGACTTGTCACAGTGTGATTCCTTGGAGATGATAAATAACCAAACCATGCCAGAACTTGCAGAAGATGCCGATAGTGAAACAGAATTGTCAAAGACTCCAGGTAGATACTGGCTAATTTACTTATTTAATAATTTCTGTTTCTATAATGGGAAATTGAAAGTCATTCTTGGATGTCCTGAAGCAGGGTTTTTCCAGCCTGGGTGTCATAGAGGGAGGTGGCATTTCACGGGGTGCAAGAAAAGGGATTATAAAAACAGAAGAGACATTAGCTTTTAACTTATGATACACATTTTGTCTTTTAAAATTTTTTTTTTCTTTAACATTTTCATTCATGGAATAAATCACAAGTTTTTTTTGGTTAGTTCTGCTATTATCTTATTAATTAAATAAATAAGAGTCCATTATTTTCAAAATTTTAAGAGGCACTGTTACTTTTGCAGTAGTTGCAAGACTAATAGACAATTTGAAAGGATACGAGGCTAGTCAAATACTTTGCAGGGGTCGCTGACCATAGAAAAGTTTGGGAGACACTAACCTAAAGCGGGGTGGGAAAACTATATACCACTGATCAGATCCAGCACAAAGGCTTCGGAAGCCTTCCAGGAAGTTATTTGGTATATTAATATAGTTTTTTTTTATTTTAAAAATTCAGTATTAACATCTGTTTTAAAAAGTATTTATACCCTTATCCAACAAATAGATTCAGCTCCTAGCTGTAATGGGAATGTCCAAAGCCATTAGAATTCTTATGTTGATGAGCTTTCAGCTGAACTTCAAACTGAATTGATCGAACAATCTAAATATATTTTGAAATTATGATACAAAGAAATACTTATGCCAACTTGTGTGAGAAGACATTTTCAAAAATGAAATATGTCAAATCTAGCTACAGAGCAGCTTATATGATGAGCATTTGTCAACAATTTTGATGAGAGTACTAACTTTGAGCCTAAAAAAAATCACTGTGTCAGAAAAGAACCAGTTTCATGTTTCTCACTGATGTGAAAAAGATGATGTACACTGCAATCTAATTTTTTTTTTTATCAAATAATATTTTATTTGGAGTCTTATTTAAGTTAATATCATGAAAACACCAATTTTATTGCTTCATGTTGCATTTTGACAAGAAAACAAGTGTCTCTTACATTTTGTAAATATACATTGCGATCATACATGGAGACCACCTTGTATATTACAAAATCCATCTGGATCCTAGAGCCAGGAGAAATCTTTGTAAGAGTATTTTTCTATGTGCTGAAGTGGAATTATGTACAATATTTCAAAACAAATTTCCATTTTTTTGTATCAAACAAAGAATTTTATCTAACCTAATCGACCCTGGTCACAAAAAAAATTTGCCGATCCCTACCCTAAAGGCTAAAAAAACTAGCCATTTTTTTTTTTTTTAAAGTTCCTATACGCTATACTTTGTAGAAACTATTTGCGTCATTTATTTTATTTGATGAACTGTGTGCACCCTTCAGAAAGTAATTAATGTTGAGTTGTTTTTTTTTCCCCTCTTCCTTTTTCAGGAGAAAATCTTTCAAGCAAGTTGCTTGAGCAAGGTCACCAAACAACTGTACCGGTATGCCATGTGTTACTTATGATTTATAATGATGTATATTAAAAGCCTGCTGCCTTAATGTTTGTCAAATGCAGGAGTATTTCATTAATGAGTTCTTTCATCTATATTTTTTTTTATAAAAACACTTGGTTGTCATTGCGATCAAACCATTTATAAAAAAAAAGAAAAAGACCTGAGTTTGAGCTTGATTTCGCATTTCGTTATTTCCGTTTTGTTTGATTCTGATGCATTGAAGAAAGACAGTGCAGAAAGAAAACCATCAATAAGTTTAAAACATAGCGGAATACCCCTGACTTTTGTGAGCAGTTGATAAGTTAAAGAGCAGAAAGATTCATCACAGGTTTATTTATTTTGACCGTCCTGTTGATCAGGGGGATTAGCCACATACATTTTTCATTGTCTCCTCTACTAGTATTGATACATCCCTTTTGGTTATCATTCATTCCTTAAAAGATGCAAACATGTCAGCCGCAATTCCTCCCATATTATCAGTCTCAACTCATTCTTTTTTCTTTTTTTTTCCCCACACATTTGAAATTAAAAAAAAAGGATTGAATTTTAATAATTAGTAAGTGTATTTAAAATTGAAGGATCACTAGTGTTCTCGCATGTTTTTTTAATAATAAAAAAAAAAAAAGCTTTTATATCGGCACACATGAAGTGTCAACGTATGAAGCATAAATAATGTGGTGAAAGGTTTGCTGAAATATTTGTTTCAACAGAAGCCAGTCACATTCTCTGATCTCATGGAAGAGCTGGGTGTGGAGTTTGGAGGTGATGTTCCCATCAAACAAGCATCAGTGAAGGTAGATAAGTGAATGTGTTGAGCAGTGCAAAAGAAAAATTCTCACACCTGAGGGGGAGGGGGGAGATTCTGACACCACCACTCCTTTCAAGTGGTGTAAATAATGTAGTGACTGGGCTATATTGATTATATTTTAAAACTTCTGAGCACTTAATTAATCTTATGCACTTCTCTCCCACCCCCAGCCTATTCCACTTTCAACGGTTGAGGAAAAGCTGATGGCTAAATTAATACATGCGCCAAAAGCAGAGACTTTAGAGAATTTTATTAAAGAATTAACTTTAACAGTCAGCAGGTGAGTTTAGTTTACCTTCATAAATATATATACTTAATATTATTATTATTAAGGTGGTGTTATAAAGCGCAGTTCTCCAGCCTAAGGCTAGGCTCACTGCGCTTCTCATAAAAATTAGCAATTACAGAAAATTATACATTTAAAAACAACTGGTAAAAAGCTTGACCTCACCCACCCAAGTACTATCTAGCCATGGACAGCAACCAGTGGCATTGAGCGTTGTATATCAGGGGGGGGGGGGGGGTGAGAATGAGTCGGTATAGTTTACCTGCTGCTGTTTTATCTCTAACATTTCTGGTTGCTACTAATGAGATTAAAGAATTAATGTGACTATCAGTAGAGGGAAAGAACTGGTATTACAGACTGTTATGGTTCTTAGTGATGCTGTGACAGATATTTGGTCCAATATTTAAATCATTTACTACATTTTTATCCAGCTCCTTTACATCTCTTTTTTTTCTTCTTTTTATCTTTCAGGTCCAAACAGGCTTGTGAATCAATGCTTTCTGCTTTTCCTCATCAACTTCCTGCCTCACTCCAAGCAGCTATCCAAGCCAAAAGGGAGGGTATTGACGTAAGCTAACACCTTTTCTTTGAATGCATTGTTCATTTAGTTGAGTTCTCTCCCAGCTTCTGGTGATGATTAGAAACGATTAAATTTTCCATTTGTACTGGAAGCCTCATTTGTACCAAATGGGTGTCCAATGTTCTTTTTAAAAATTACTTGAAAAAAAAAAAACTATTTCAATAGGATTGAGCTTTCATTAAAAAATTTAATGATTACTTGAAAGAAGCTGGGTCTCCTGATCATATCAATTTTGGATATAGGTTCACTTGAAACTGAAAGATTCAACTAAGGTCCTCACCTGTGATCTTGATAGATATTAAAGTATTCTCCGGTGCACCCTTGCATGGGTGGCTCCTTGGCAAGATTTCAGTCTTATACAACATCCATGTAATCCTGTAATTCATGCCTCAACATGTGCATTTTTCTTTTTAGCCTTCCTCACTGAAGCTTAAAGCCCAAGAAACAGCAGAAGCCTGCAGGATTTCTGCCCGTGCTAAGTGGAAGAGACACAAGGCTGATCATTTACAAAAGTACACCAGTGCAAGAGAGGTGAGCAGTCATTTTTTACATGGACATATTAAAAACATTCTTGGCTGAACTTTCTATATTAAAAAAGTCTCTCAATTGATTACCTAAAACTTAACATAATACTACCATATATTACCGCCTATGGGCAATCCATGTATAATCCAAACTCCTTTCCTTTTTTTTTTTTATTGAAAAGGGCCCTAAAATATCATATTCATGTATAATGGGGATCTGTTAATCTTGTTCCAATGGAACAACACAAATTTTTTCTCATGGAACGGTGAAACGAAAAGTCATCAAATAGTAAACTCAATAACTTTGTGGAGATAGACAATTTATATTTTGGTTGATTTCAATTTAAAACACTTGCATTACAATAATCTGGTTTATTATATTTAACATTACCATAGAATCAAAGTGCCTTTTTTTTTTTTTTTTTTTTTTTTTTTTTTTTTTTTTTTTTTATATTTATTTTTTTTTTTTTTTTTTTTTTTTTTTTTTTTTTTTTTTTTTTTTTTTTTTTTTTTTTTTTTTTTTTTTTTTTTTTTTTTTTTTTTTTTTTTTTTTTTTTTTTTTTTTTTTTTTTTTTTTTTTTTTTTTTTTTAACGCTAAATTTTTCGCATTATACAATTATATATATGGAATGTGCCATTTTTAAAGAAATAGTAGCTTTAAAAAACTCTGTCTTTCATTACATTTTTATTGCATGTACTTTACTTTCCCTATTTTGTTTGTTCAGGCTGCACAGGAAGGTCTGAGTCGGGAGGTAGGAGAAGTTTTAAAAGACACAGAGAAATTGATGGATCTAATGGGTGACATTGATCAGTGTGAGTTCACTAACTTATTTTATGGTCACGTCGCAAATACTGGCTGGCTGGTGACCGATTTGGTGTTTCACCTGAAAGACTTCATCCACTGGATATTATGGATCTGAAATAATAGATTGAATTGATTTTTTGGGGGAGGGCGTGAAATTGGACATGTTCTAAATAAAATAACGATGAGGCATCAAATATATTTAGGATTGCACAATGCAGGAACTTAAATAAGAGAAAGACTTAATATGTTTGGGGCTGGAGACTTTTTATAATTAGTTAATATAACATTGTGGGAGCTGAAATTGTTAATAAACCCTATTTGCTAAGGATTTGCCACTGCATAACAACAACAAAAAAATGTTTGTGACATCAGTTGGACATAATCTCTATGTTTTAATTTAGAGACACCCCACTGTCATAAATAAAAATGCTCAAATATAAATGGACAATTGATTTTGTTTTATATGAACATGATTTCAGGTTTACAAGAGGTGGATGTGCTGACTTCACAACAAAGAGGTAAAAACTGAATTTAGATTCAGGATTTGGATGCCACATTATCCTTTAGGTTTTTGATAGTTTCATGCAACACCATCTTTTAGGATGTTGATAGAGTCATACATCACTTGTAGGATTTTTGCAACAACTATAAAAAATTACCAGCTTATTTTATATTTTTTAAAAACTATGCCACTTTATTAAATTATACAAGCTACTCAAATAATTGAAAAAGAGACAGTGAATGCATCCTCTTTTTAAAAAATTCTATACTTGGTCTTTAAAAACCTTTATTGTAAATTTTTTTTTAGTTCTGGAAGCTGAAGAAAATAAACTTAAAGAGATCGAAAGGTAAGGCAACTTTTTTTTTAAACTGACGGATAAACTTTCTACAGTAAATAATTTTTAGAAATTTCTGCCTTGATTTCACTTATATCTGAAATTATTTTTAGGAAGACATTTCTCAATAGACTTATTGGTGTATGATTGTGAACAAAAATTATCTTGTTGATAGTGAGACTGCCCAGCTAAAGATCCAGTGTGACGACATGGCCAACAAGGTGTCTTCGTTGCAGGAAGATAATCAGGAGGCTCTAAAGAGGATTGCTGTGGCGAAGAAAGAGGTGGAGGCGGTTGAAGATAAAATAACCTGGATGCATAGGTAACAATTATTATTTTGTGTACACTGTAGGCCACTTTTATACTCCCATCTATTGAGTCCTCATCACAAAATTTTGCTGGAGACAACTGCAAGAGAACACCTATTTTGTTTATATTGGGTTCTGACTGCAAGGTCGGGTTTCTGTCTGGCAGATCCTTCTCTATTGGTCTGCACCAGGTCGCTTTGATCCTTTTACAATATCGTAAAACACACGTGGCTTATGTGCCATATATACTCGCATGTAGGTCGCACCCTTATTTTGGGGTTGTCAAAGTTGGTATTTGCGGTTGACCCTCAGATAGGTCGCACCCTACCTAAGTTTGCAGAGTACATGTCCCCTTTTTACAGTAAATATAAACGGAATTCACAAAAATGTTCCCATAGCAACTTGAAAACTGAAAAGAAATCATACACTACAATATCTTTAATAAGCACTGAAAACTGCCTGTTCCTACTGAAAGGTTGGCGTATGAATAAGTATGCAGCAACTCGGCCACCGCTGTGTCCAAATTCACCTGAAACTTCTAAGGGCCAACATTATACTACGTACACACTCATGATGTGGTGTAAATTTTGACTTTTTGGATGGCTATTTACGTATGCTAAGATACCAACCCGCCTTGATTCTATGCGAAGAGCCTAAGAGTTTTTTCAGCTAATAAAGCTGACATTATTTGCATTCATCAAATTGACCCTAATAACACCGCCAAGGCCAGTCATGTTGGCATCTTTTGTTTAATGTTTAATAATTTTAAATTGTTTCAGGAACCATGAATAATAGGATCTTGTTGTGGTTCCTGAAGTTACAAATGAATTTGACCTTCGACACCCCACACCCCTGTTAAAATTTTTTAAAATCTTCTAAATTGAAAAATATACTTTTTTTGTCTGCAAATGAATATACCAATGTTTGGAGTCATGCAACAAATGGATTAAACCCAATCTCACTTTATAAATTTGTACATTATAGTTATAGCAAGGCTCTGCTGTATTTGACATCTTTGATAAATGTTTTGTCTAATTTTTCAGTCTGACAGAATGGAGCTTACTGGATAATACAGAGACACAAATGGACTTTGGATTTTTATTTGGTACCATAGCGTTACAGGTAAAGCTGACCAGTCCCAGAGAAGAGATTTTGGAAGTCGCACTAAAATCAAGGATTGGAGGTAATTGGGGAGACGGGTGGAACAAAACTCGCACTAGATTGTTATTAACAAAGGCATGAGCAGTGTAGAATATGTTAGTGTGGTCGCTAAATCTTATGGCATACTACCATGAATGAGTGAGATGATAGGTAGAGTCCAATGAAATCACTCATGCATGTAGCTAAAAATGGCGTTTTATTATCATATTTACATGGCAAAGTTAACCATGGGGCTCAGCACTTGGAATTAGGTACAAAGTGTAACATTACTAGATGATGTAATCTGATTGGGGGGGGGGGGTTGTTGAAGTTAAGGGAGGGGCTGATACTTCCTGGAAAAAGATTCATACTTATATTACTTTAAAGATTACTTACTCAATGAAAAGTGACTTTTTATTATTTTGAAAACCATGGGCTAAATGTTCCTTAAAAGTTTATCATTCTGTTATGCTATTGCAGCGGTTCTCAACCTTCCTGATGCTGCGACCCATTAATACAGTTCATTATGTTGTGGTGACCCCCAACCATAAAATTATTTTCGTTGCCACTTCATAAATATGTGTTTTCCGATGGTCTTAGGCAATCCCAATGTAAGGGTGGTTAGACTCCCCAAAGGGGTCAATCCACAGGTTGTGAACTGCTGTGCTATTGCTTTAATTCGCTGTATATTCTCTGCAATATTTATGTATATAAAAATATACATATATGTATACATACAATTATATAAAATATATGTATTTTTATATATATATACATAAATATTATATATATAAAAATATTAAAACAAACTTGATTTCTTTCACATCACAATTTGTTAATGCATAGCATACTGTTTAATTCTTTGAGCAGAGCAAAGCAGGCCCTGGGCGAAATTCGTTCACAATTTGGCAATGTCAAGCATTGACTGTGACACGTTGATGAGGTCTTACAAAGATTACAGCCAGCTGAGATTGGTAAGGAAATTAGAGAAGTGTGTATTTCAGCCACACGCAAGTAGTTTCAAATTACTGTTGGTGCACAATTCTCTCACTGTCGTCAATGTATTCTAGCTCTTGGTAACATGATTACTTCTTGGGCTCTAATGTTTACAACTACTAAGTGATTAAATTACTTTCCTCCACCTGGCAGCTCCTCAATGATGTCTCCCTTGTCAGCTTAAACTGTCGGCTACTTGTTGATGAGCTCAAACTTATCCACCTGCAGCATCACCTGACGCTCACAGAAAATAGGTGGGTTTCAAATTTTTGTTATGCACAGCACCAACTCAGTGTTAAAATTTCTGCTTTCACCCATGACATTGACATGATGTTATTTTGTTGAAAGAACTATAAATAGAATTTTGAATGCTGCTAGCACATCTAAAATTATAATTCTGGGTCAGATCTAAATAACTGATTTGTAGATTTTCAGTGTTTTTTTTTTTAAATTTAAACTATTCCATATAGAATCAATATTATAGATGAGTAAGCATTAAAACTTTAGATTATTCATAAAAACTTTACTTTATACATGAACATCTTAGATTATACAGGAACATCTTAGTTTATACATGAACATCTTAGTTTATACATGAACATCTTAGTTTATACATGAGCATCTTAGTTTATACATGAACATCTTAGTTTATACATGAACATCTTAGTTTATACATGAACATCTTAGTTTATACATGACATCTTAGATTATATATGAACATGTTAGATTATACTTGAACATGTTAGATTATACATGAACATCTTAGTTTATACATGAACATCTTAGTTTATACATGAACATCTTAGTTTATATTAGTTTATACATGAACATCTTAGTTTATACATGAGCATCTTAGATTATACATGAACATCTTAGTTTATACATGAACATCTTAGTTTATACATGAACATCTTAGTTTATACATGAACATGTTAGATTATACTTGAACATGTTAGATTATACTTGAAAATGTAAGCATTCATCAATTAAGAGTGTTAATAATATTTGTGCACTTCTTTAAGATTCTCTGGTTAAAATATTAGTGAATTCACTATTGGATTAAAAAAAAAAAAATTTAATTACCTCACTTACATTTCTTGCACATATTAATACTGCCTTTTAATGCCCTTGTGGCTGTTTAAGAAGTTCACTGCATAAGCTCCTCGGTGATGTAAGTGTAACTGAGATGAAATTAATATAAAAAAAATGTATGCCTAAATTAACACTAGCCATCATTTGCACTTGAGCCCAACACCCACCCCCCTTATCTTGTTTTTCTTCAGTCTCTTACACCGAATTCACTTATTTTATTCACAGGGTGACCATAGTGATGAAGAACAGAGAGGTACTTTGCAAGCTTCAGCTGGACACTGAGATCAAACCAAATACCTACCCAGATACACCTTTGCATTGGACCATTGTTCCTTTAATAGGGACTATTTGGTAAGGTTAAGTTTAACTTCATGTCACTTCAGGGATTCTATCCCACATAATTTAACCCATTCGCTACTATTGCGACCAAATGCGACATACCCGCCTCGCTACTAATGCGACCGAATGCGCCATGACGCCTAGCAACGTACACATAACATACGATATCGCGAGAAGCATTGTTGCCTTGCGAATAGCTTTGGGAATTTAAGGAAGTGGGAATAGAGCTGCTTCCGTTAAAAAAAAACGGATGTTTCTACCATTTACGGTTTGAAAGCTGCGTGGTGTTGAAGTCGGTCTAAGCTTAGCGAATTTGTGACTCTGTTTTGTGAATTATTTTGAAATGGCTTTTCAATTTCTTGACTCTTTGATTGCTGCCTCCACTTCTAATTATCAGGTAGATAATAACTCTGACAATGAGGATGAATCAGACATTGATATTGATCCAAACGCATTAGATTCAGAATCAGAAAATAATACCGATGACGATGAAAGTGACGTTGATGATAGCGACCCAGACACTGTCACTGAGTCTTGGTCAGACAATTTGACCAGTGTAACTGATAAGATGGAGATATTTCGTGAGATAGAAGGTGGCATCCATAACCTTCCTATTGAAAGCAATCCAATTGACTATTTCAAACTGTTTTTGACCGATGCCATGGTGGAAATTATTGTAGTGGAAACCAACAGATATGCTGAGCAACAGCAGACTGCTAAGGGCCGAAAAGACACTCAGTGGAAGGCCGTCACTAATGAGGACATTTACAAATTTTTATACATCAACATTATGTTTGGGCTCCATAAATTGCCCACTACTAAATTGTACTGGTCCAGTGACAAACTATGGAGGGTTCCTGCAGTTGCAGATGTTATGGGGCGCACCCGATATGAAAAAATACGTCAATATTTTCATATCACGAACAGCGAACTCACTCCTGCCAAAACTAGTGTCAACTATGATCCCCTGTTCAAAGTCAGACCCCTACTGGACCATATTAGGAGTGTGTGCCAAACAGCGTATAAACCACAACGACAGCTGTCAGTGGATGAGGCAATGGTTGGATTTCGTGGCCGATTATCCTTCAAACAATACTTGAGCAACAAGCCAACTCCATGGGGCATCAAAATTTGGTGCTGCGCAGAAGCCAAAACCGGTTATATTCTTAACTTCCAAGTCTATACCGGCAAAAATAACAATCCATCAGAGCATGGACTCGGATATAATGTTGTCATGAACATGATGGAACCATACCTGGATAGGTACCATGAAGTTTTTTTTGACAACTTCTTTTCCTCCCCCAAACTCGCAGAGGACCTCCTACAACGGAAGACGTACAGCTGTGCAACCATTAGACCTAACAGAAAAGGCTGGCCACTACCCAAATCAAAACAGAAGAGGGGTAGTGTCAAAATTAAACAGAAGGGTCTAATGGTTGCCACACAATGGACTGACAAACGGCAAGTCAACATACTTTCAACAAATTCTGACCCGGTGGTTACCACAGTGCAACGCCGGTCGAAACATGGAATGGTGGACACAGAGATCCCAATGCCTGTTGTCAACTACAACTCTGGTATGTTTGGTGTTGACTTGTCAGACCAACATCGTGCCTACTATCCTGTGGGAAGAGCATCTACGAAGTGGTGGAGGTATCTCTTTTGGTACATCATAGACCTCTCAATGGTCAACAGCTTTCTCTTGATGAAAAGCGCCAAACCAACAGATGCCGCAGACTCTCCTGCCAAAAATCATCTGCTATTTAGAAAAGCTGTTTTGGACCA